AAATCTCAGAATTAGTTGATAAGAAAAGGAAGGTAAGACCTGGAGAGTTGATGTGGGAGAGATGTCATTGAACACTGTCATCTAGATATGGCTTGGTAACAATAATCATGAGTATATAGCAGCACAGGGTAGCTCCACAAAATTGGACACCTGAACATATCCTCATGGGTACAAGCGTTCTAAGGCCATATTTCTACCTTGGGGTGCTAATGACTGCTACTGGTTGCAAGAAAAGGAGTGTCATTTCCTTCAGTGAAGTAACCATCAGAGCATCTATTGGGAAGAAGTGATTCAGAAAGAAATGAAAAGTAAATTGAAATGAGGGACATAAACACAGGATGTTGTGTATAACTATGAAATTGTTTTTAAAAAGAAAGAAATATAGGAACAATAAGTAAGTAAATAAATAAAGCCCAAAGGAATTTGGATTGTTTGATCACATATAAAATTTCACTTGTGTGCTGTTAATGCCCATCAAGAAATTTATTCCAAACTGAGTTGGTTGGTACTTGCTAATCCTAGCATTTGATGGCCTGAAGTAGAAGAAACACTGGGTTTTTACCTGCTTGTTCTACACAAAGACTTGTCTTAGTTCACCATGGAAAGGGAAGGAAAAGAAAAAAGGAGATAAAGAAGCTTGTTGTTATACATACATACACAGCATTTGGATTTTTCAGTATATTTTTCTTGACTTTCTCTCTTCTTTTAAAATATATTTATCTGGGCATGGCGACACATGGTTTAATCCCAGGTCTCAGGATGAATAGTCATGCAGACCTCTGAGTTCAAGGAAAACCAGTTTCAGGACTATTAGGGATGCCCTAGCGGATCTACCTCGATGATCAGATGGGTGAATAACCCAAATATCATCATGGAACCTTTATCCAGTAATTAGTGGAACCAGATGTAGAGATCCACAACCATGAACAAGGTTATGCTCCAGGAATTCAGCAGACAAGAGGGAGGAAGGAATACATGATCAAGGGAGATCAAGATCATGATGGAGAAATCTCCACAGACAGTTTAACCAAGCTGGTGATAACTCATGAACTATATAGACTGACAGCTGTGGAGACACCAGGAATCCAAGCTAGGCCTTCCATATGTGGGAGACAGTTGTGTAGGTTGGGCTATCTTAGGTGTTCATGCCAGTAGGACCCTGATACAAACCTCATACATGAGCTAGCTTGTTGGAGCCCATTCCCTATGGTGGGATGCCATGCTCAGCCATAATGCATGGAGAGGGGCTTGGCCCTGCCCCAACCTATTTTGTCAGACTTTGTTGACTCTTCATGGGAGACCTTCCCTGTGAGGAAGAGTAGCCTGGGGATAGGTTAGGGGAGAGATGAGGGAGGGTAGAAGGAAGGGCAGGAGGGAGAACTGTGGTTGAAATGTAAAATGAAATTAAATAATAAATTTAATCATTTAATAATTATTAAATTATTATATAAATATAAATTATTAAAAGGAAAAGCCCTATCATTTAAAACTAACAAAATTAATATGTTTTATAAAAAATAAGAATTTTTATATATAATTTATTTTCAAGAGGAACATGTGTTTTTCTATGCTTTGTTTTACATTCAATAACTACCCTAGATAGTTTAATCTTATGTATTCTTATTAAATTTAATTGTTCATTTGTCACACTAGCCATTATTATATTTGTCTTTTCAGAGTATAAGATAATAAACAATTTTAAAGGATAGTATCAAAAACATTCATAATATATCTAAGTCAGAAATTCTGATGGCAATCTTTCTAATATGACTATGGCTTGAGGAAGAACAAGTCGAAAATAAAGGGGAATCGTCAATTGCAAGGATAATATCTTAATAACATTATCAGTAATAGTTAAGTTAACTAAAACCTGTTTGTTTTAATAAGATGAAATTTGTTGATTGGGTCTCTTCATGTAAAGAACTCTTTGGTATGTCAAAATAAAAGGTCAGCACCTGGTGAGGGTGTGACTTGTGTTACTACAAGGAACACTGCTTCTAACCAGCCAGTGTGTTTAGGGCTTTTGTTTTTTTTGTTTGCTCTGATTTTGTTTCAGTGACTTGGGTATTCCTCTCATCCTCTAATCAGACATAAGGTACCTTATAAAATGGTCATGGCTTCAGGGAGCATGTTTTAGCTCTAAGTTCTATTGTTTATATTGAAACAGAAATGTTCTTGTTCCATTTATTTTCCCCAGTCTAGAGTTCTCAGTTGCATAGCATTCCCTTACTGAAATTGTCTGTGATGAAGTAAGTTTCCTTTCCCTGCACATAGAAATTAGTTAACCTAAAAAGAAAAAAATAAGAAGCTGCAAGCTGCAAGAAATCACCCACTTACACACACACACACACACACACACACACACACACACACACACACCACAAGAGACAAGTGTCTTTGTCATTCCTCCAAGCAAATTTTCTCAAGAATGCATCAGTTTTCATATATATGATGCATGAATTTCTTTCCCTTTAACTTATTAGTTTCCAGATCCATAAATAAATAAGTAAACATGTAAATAAATCCTTTGAATATATCTATAATTTCCCTAGTCTTGGAAATTCCCCAATACCAGTTTTGCTTGCAAATTTTCATGCCTCAGTTTTCCCAAAATGTATTCATGTTTGCATATTTGATTTCATGCAAATTATTTACAGGCCTGTACAGTTGTAAAGCTTGGGTAAGACATATTTGAAAGGGGAAGATATTGTTAAGTAAATCAGCTCTGTTTCAGCTACAGAAAAGATGGTGGTCAATGCCTTTAATGTTTGATCCCTATGCTCATCGTGCAGAAGCAGAGGCAGGTGGATCTCTGAACATTAGGCCAAACTTGTCAACCAAGAGAGATCCAGGACTGCCAGAGCTAAAAAGAGAAACCCTGTCTCCCTCTGTAGGGAGGAATCAAAGAACATTTGGTTTATTTTGTAAAACTCCTATAAATTCAAAACTCTATAAAGGTGCTTAATGTTCTTGTAACTTTGTAAACAAGAAAACCTGTCACCTCTGTTAAAAGTCAGTTTTACTGAATTCCAAGAAAAATCAGAATCTCAATTTCAGCTCTTAAAGAAACTGCATTTTTGAGTTGTATGTCTGAGTAAGGTGATGACCTCTCCCTGGGGAAACTGTAAGCATTGCTCTCCCTAGCCTCATCTACACAGGGTGAGCTGGGAGGAGGTACAACTTTACTGACTACAGAGCAGAATTTCTACTCTTCTCCTGTCAGGATACAACTTGTTACTTATTTGTATGTATTTTAAATTCCTCATAGCTGGTATAGAAACTTGTAAGTTGTGTATGTGAGTGCATGTGTTTGCCGGTGAGAGTGCTTGTGTGCTTGTGTGTGTGTGTGTGTGTGTGTGTGTGAGAGAGAGAGAGAGAGAGAGAGAGAGAGAGAGAGAGAGAGAGAGAGAGAATGGATGTGTGGTTGCTAAGTGCCTAATACCAAAGAATAACAAAGGGTTTTTAAGAGGCCTCACAATCTGGGAATTTTCACCATCCCCTTCCCTCATTTTCTGAATGTCACTGAAAGCTTTGTGGTCTGAAATCAAAGATCTTAACCATGCACTGTGCTTTCATTCTGCAGATTTAAATAACAGCCAGGAAATACCATCAGAAAAACCTAACTCTCTGTGACCAAATTGACTGAAATTCTATAACAACTTTAAAATGGAAAAGTATATGCTTCAATTATATACCTGGGAACAAATATTCTCCACCAAATTGTGATATTATGTAATATATATATATATATATGTGCGCTCGGGCACACACACACACACACACACACACACACACACACACACACATATATATATATACATATTTCAAATAGCCACTTTCTATGTGCAAAAATAAAACAGTTTCCAAAGGCATCAAACAGTATAAAACGCTGTACCGCAGAGAAGGCAGAAATGCATTTAAAGCACCGATGAAAATGGCGTGCAATATAATTACCTCAAATTGCTGTTCGCTTGACACCCTGACACTAATTTTATTCAAGCCATTGGGAAATAAATGTTTTAAAAGCCGTGCTTTCGGAACGCTGGAGCTCGCGGGGTTTGTGAGGTCTTTAAGGAAAGGAAAGGGTAAAGTTTCTAGCAAGGAAAAAGAATTAAATAATCAATTTAAAATAAGCTTCTATGTAGATCGACAGCCTTTAATACCCACGTTTTTAACGCTTGCCCTATACGTGGATTTTTTTTTTTTCAGCATTCCCTCACCAGATGGATTTTTGCTACTGCAGATCAGCAGAGGGTGTCAGATCTTTCAGAGTGCACCAGGCTGGAACCAGCATAGCTTCTTAGCAACTCCCCCTCCTCCCCTTTCTCGCGCTCTCTTCCTCCCTCAGACAACTCGCTCCCCCTCTCTCCTCCCCCCTCCACGTAATTCCGAAAGAGCAGAAGAAAGAGAAGGAGAACAAGCAAAGAAGAGCTAGTAGGCACCGGCCGGAGCACAGAAAAAAAGAGGGCTGAAGACGGCCAAAGGGGGAAAAGGATCAGGATGGACATCCACAAAACGCAGCGATTGCGGAAATTTTCCAGCGCCATTGGCTGGGCAGTGTGAGTCTTTTGGACGGGCGTGATTTCAGCACCGGGGGCTCTGGACAGCACCTCGGGGGTACTTCTGGGCAACCCGCAGCCAAGACAAGAACTCCTCCAGCTGCCTGGACCACTGAAGCCGCCGAAAGCCCTGCTTTGTATCAGAGAGGCAAGGTCAGTCCGACGCACAGCCATCACAGGCAGTGCGCCTGTACTACGCTGCAAACCTGGTTGTTTCTAACGTGCACTTGCTTCTAATTGCTAGCATTGTTCCCTTCCTGGTTAATGAGGACCTCCAAACATGATTCTGTAAGGGTGCGTTATCCTTTTAATTTTACAGGTATATATTTAACTTATTTTGGTTATTTTTAAAGGGTGAGGGGGAGTAGTTTGCTATCTCTCTCTCTCTCTCTCTCTCTCTCTCTCTCTCTCTCTCTCTCTCTCTCTCTCTACTCACTTTCCACCCCCCCCCCTCTTTTCTGCTTGCCTTGCACTATGTGCCTGGATAGTTTGTGGATATAATTATTGACTGGCGTCTGGGCTATTGCAGTACGGGGGGGTTAGGGAGGAAGGAATCCACCCCCACCCCCCCAAACCCTTTTTTCTCTTTCTCTGGGATCGGACATTGGAGCACTAAATGAACTTGAATTGTGTCTGTGGCGAGCAGGATGGTTGCTGTTACTTTGTGATGAGATCTGGGATGAATTGCTCGCTTTAAAAATGCTGCTTTGGATTCTGTTGCTGGAGACGTCTCTTTGTTTTGCGGCTGGGAAGGGGACAGGGGACATTTGTAAAGAGAAGATCTGTTCTTGCAATGAGAAAAAAAGGGACAGCGAG